TATCACAACTAGATTCACTATAATTACAATCGTCCCTATTAGAATCTGAACCATGACACATAAAAGCATCATAAGGCACTTGCTTTGATTGAGGGGATCCATGCTTTTGTTCATCTCTTTTAGCTTCCACGAGCCTTGGACTTAATTTCCTTCGACGATTGTTTGGCATCGCAAGCGAACGACCAAATATTCCCGGAGACAATAATTGAAATCAGCGAAACGAAAACCAAACGAATTCGACCAAAATATTTGTTTAGAACTGTAAGATCCAAACTACGTTTAGACTGCTGGACAGCTCCCTGGATGAGTTAGATACGCGCCCTCGCCCGATTGAAACCAAAACAAAGTAATTGGGTAAGATGACGGTTCTATAATTTATCATAAATTTAAGTGTACACTATTACCTAAACAAATATAACCACTCAGCTATCCAACCAATAATTGTTCAATTGATCAAATCTAAACTACAATAAATAAGAAAGTTGATAAACGATGCAAGAAAGTTACCAATCACCACAAATAAATGTTATTCTATCCTGTCTGGATAGATCACGTACAGATTCGTTCAAAAGGTAATAATTGGTCGCTCTATAACACAGAGTGTTTCTTAATTCTGGAAGAGTGCTTCTATTCACAACCAAAATGCACAATTCCAGTCAACACAGGTCAAGCAATCAAAAGCAGGAACCAACCAAAATGGCTGCCGCCCAGACTTAGTATAAAGTAAAACAACATAAGTGCAGTTCGGGAAAAAACATGGGGAATTAGTGAAGGTGTAGTAAAAGCGAAAACTATAATAAAATATAAATATTAACAATTCAAATGTAGTCAAAAAGTTAACAATGTACAACTAAGAGAATCAACAGGAACAAAGTGCAAGTATAAACATGGAGGGATTTTCACAAACACACAAGGCATTCAAAATGGATCTTACACTGGCCCCCAAAATCCCTCCATACCACACAAGCTACCTTGATGCCTACGGTCATGGTTCATTATATAACATATCACACCATAGGAACGAGTAGGACTTACAACAGTACGCCTACTTGACCTAACTACATTAATAACAACAAAGACTAATCCAAAGCTTCAAGGAGACCTGCTTCACCTGTTCTCTGATGATCAACAATACCAGTCGTCATATAGACCTAATCACTCTTCCCCAAACTCCACCCATGCTGTTGGATGAGGGCTTCGCTGACAATTCAATATTTATCTTCTGCTGATTCGACTGTTGCACCAACTTCCTTAACTCAGAAACTGCCTCCACGAGGCTTGACGCACCGTCACTGTAAATCTCAGGAGGTTTCCTCCTTCCAATAAAACGTAATAAGGCCATCATAAATGAATCAGTAATCAAACTACACATCATTTCAATATGTAATGCCCATGTTTGCAAACAAGTAAACACATATCTATATCCTTTATCTAATGACCTTCCTATGTGTCCTGGTTCCTCATGATAATGTCTAATTATCATTTCTGTCATTAAGTGTCGACTGGGCAATATTATCGGATGGTTAAAGGCATCTGGGAAATCTGAATAGTTTAGCCGACCTCCAACACAGAGTAACTCATTCAGCATTATCGGTGATAAGCTCTTCAGATCATTTTGACTAACTAATTTACCATTGTTTCTAAATCCACTAAGTATTTCTCCATACACTTCTTTCTGAACCATCAATAAACTTTTACTCTTGGCGATGTCAAGCTCCTTGACCTTTAAACCTCCTAGATGAACGGATCCTTCACAACTCGGTGAACGAAGTACCATCAGGAATTCTATGAACCTTCTAAGCCATGCTACGGCCCTGGCTAATTTCAACCACTCAGCATAATAAGAGAGAATAGGTGACATGTTGTACTTTATACTACTCAAGTTAACCACAGCAGTTTTTCTAAACTCAATATCTTCAGGAGTAGGTTCCGGCAGTCAGTGATCGCTGTACAAAACTCGCCATGCATTAAAGTAGGACATTTGAACCAAAGCTCAAGATCAGTCATTTTTTGTATACCTCCTCTACATAATAATTCACCTATCTGCTTAACAAAACTCTTTGCTTGATCACAACGTGGAAAGGATATCAAGCAATCATCAACATAGGAATTATTCTTGACAGCACTTACGACATAACCATCATAACCGTCAGAGAATATTTGAGCCGTCTTATTCAAGGTAAAGTTCGCACGAAACGGCGATGATATGGCACTAAATGGATGAGATGTCATTTGAAACTCAGATGGTTCCCTCGACATGTCTACCTCCTGCCACCACAGAAATCTTGAAGCTCCTCGATCAGACTCAGAGACCTTCAATTGCATGAACATTTCTTCAACATCTGCAGGGATTGTAACTGCCTCCTTGCGAAAACTTAATAATATACACATTAACTCATCAGTGGTATCGGGTTCTTGATAAATCATATCATTTGTGGGAACCCCTGCAAACTCGGCGGCACAATCAAGGACCACTCTAAGTTCCTCTGGTTTTTTCATGTTTAACACTGCATGATGAGGTAAATACCCTCGAGAGCGATAATTAGGCTGCAAATATATTTCAAGGACCCTCTCCGCATAAGTCTTAGTAAAATTACTTTCAATACTTTTGATGTACCTGGTGTTCAGGCTGACGTCCTTTGACAACATACCTTTCAAACTTTGTAATCTACGGGTTGCTACTTCATAATTATCCACTTTCATATTTGGATTCTTTTTCCACGGTATAGAAACTACAAAATCACCGTTGCCGAAGTGCGTGCCCCCTTCCACAATCTTTATAGCCGCCTTGTCGTCTACTGATAATGATTTATCACTTGAATAAGCATCTGAAAACTCATCATAAAGCTTACGTATTTCGTTCACCAGTGTCTGTACTTTACTGATATGATTAACAACTCTTTTCCTATATTCCGAGCATGATGGCTTATCATTTACAACGTTGCTTGTCGAGTCAGTGTGCAGCAGAACGTGATGTCTCTTCTTACAACTGTCAACGTTACAGAGCCTTGTCACCTTACATTCATTAACCTTATGTCCTTGTCTAAGACAAACAAAACAAATACCCTTGCTTTTAGCGTGAGACCATCGGTCTTGAACTGTAAGCGCTAAGAACTGTGGACATTTATCAATAGCATGGTCGTAGGAACACATACTGCATTTAGTTTTCGTTGTCGAACTATTCCCTTGCGCCGATTGCACGTGACAGTTCGTCTTTACGTTATGTCCTTTTCTTGAACGATTTGCTAACCGTCCAAATCTACTACAAGCCACTCTCGCACGCGATGCGATAAACTGAGTGAGCTCGTTAAAGGTCGGTTCCCTGTTATCTTCAGTCAATTTATCCACCCAGTCCGCCCACTGGGTTTGCATAGGTTGCGGCAAGAGTCTCACTATTCTTTCCAAGGTAACTAAGGAATTTAGATCAGAAGTATAATTCATCTGTTCCAAGACCATGGCAGTTTTCCATTTTAATAGCCAAGTTTGTTAGTTGCTCTCCGTCAGTATAATCAAAATTCACAGCACTGAATAAGTCCTCTAGTGTTTCTCTAGCAATTACGTGAGACTGTCCGAACAACCGTTTTAGAATTTCTTTGGCCTTCTTGTAACCAGAATAGGCTTCCAACATAATACAACCCTCAATGCCTGTTTTCGCTTTACCCTTACAATAATGTATCAAATAAAGCAAGCGTTGACCATCATCCTTGACCCTTGATTCTACATAGGTCTCAAACTCCCTTGAAAATCTCCAATAACCTCTTGGTTGACCGTCGAAATAACTTAGCTCAACCTTTAGTAACTCTGGACCTACGAAAGGCGCCGTAAGCATCGCGCTTTTCGCCTATGCCATCTGTCATTATATCACAACTAGATTCACTATAATTACAATCGTCCCTATTAGAATCTGAACCATGACACATAAAAGCATCATAAGGCACTTGCTTTGATTGAGGGGATCCATGCTTTTGTTCATCTCTTTTAGCTTCCACGAGCCTTGGACTTAATTTCCTTCGACGATTGTTTGGCATCGCAAGCGAACGACCAAATATTCCCGGAGACAATAATTGAAATCAGCGAAACGAAAACCAAACGAATTCGACCAAAATATTTGTTTAGAACTGTAAGATCCAAACTACGTTTAGACTGCTGGACAGCTCCCTGGATGAGTTAGATACGCGCCCTCGCCCGATTGAAACCAAAACAAAGTAATTGGGTAAGATGACGGTTCTATAATTTATCATAAATTTAAGTGTACACTATTACCTAAACAAATATAACCACTCAGCTATCCAACCAATAATTGTTCAATTGATCAAATCTAAACTACAATAAATAAGAAAGTTGATAAACGATGCAAGAAAGTTACCAATCACCACAAATAAATGTTATTCTATCCTGTCTGGATAGATCACGTACAGATTCGTTCAAAAGGTAATAATTGGTCGCTCTATAACACAGAGTGTTTCTTAATTCTGGAAGAGTGCTTCTATTCACAACCAAAATGCACAATTCCAGTCAACACAGGTCAAGCAATCAAAAGCAGGAACCAACCAAAATGGCTGCCGCCCAGACTTAGTATAAAGTAAAACAACATAAGTGCAGTTCGGGAAAAAACATGGGGAATTAGTGAAGGTGTAGTAAAAGCGAAAACTATAATAAAATATAAATATTAACAATTCAAATGTAGTCAAAAAGTTAACAATGTACAACTAAGAGAATCAACAGGAACAAAGTGCAAGTATAAACATGGAGGGATTTTCACAAACACACAAGGCATTCAAAATGGATCTTACACTGGCCCCCAAAATCCCTCCATACCACACAAGCTACCTTGATGCCTACGGTCATGGTTCATTATATAACATATCACACCATAGGAACGAGTAGGACTTACAACAGTACGCCTACTTGACCTAACTACATGAATAACAACAAAGACTAATCCAAAGCTTCAAGGAGACCTGCTTCACCTGTTCTCTGATGATCAACAATACCAGTCGTCATATAGACCTAATCACTCTTCCCCAAACTCCACCCATGCTGTTGGATGAGGGCTTCGCTGACAATTCAATATTTATCTTCTGCTGATTCGACTGTTGCACCAACTTCCTTAACTCAGAAACTGCCTCCACGAGGCTTGACGCACCGTCACTGTAAATCTCAGGAGGTTTCCTCCTTCCAATAAAACGTAATAAGGCCATCATAAATGAATCAGTAATCAAACTACACATCATTTCAATATGTAATGCCCATGTTTGCAAACAAGTAAACACATATCTATATCCTTTATCTAATGACCTTCCTATGTGTCCTGGTTCCTCATGATAATGTCTAATTATCATTTCTGTCATTAAGTGTCGACTGGGCAATATTATCGGATGGTTAAAGGCATCTGGGAAATCTGAATAGTTTAGCCGACCTCCAACACAGAGTAACTCATTCAGCATTATCGGTGATAAGCTCTTCAGATCATTTTGACTAACTAATTTACCATTGTTTCTAAATCCACTAAGTATTTCTCCATACACTTCTTTCTGAACCATCAATAAACTTTTACTCTTGGCGATGTCAAGCTCCTTGACCTTTAAACCTCCTAGATGAACGGATCCTTCACAACTCGGTGAACGAAGTACCATCAGGAATTCTATGAACCTTCTAAGCCATGCTACGGCCCTGGCTAATTTCAACCACTCAGCATAATAAGAGAGAATAGGTGACATGTTGTACTTTATACTACTCAAGTTAACCACAGCAGTTTTTCTAAACTCAATATCTTCAGGAGTAGGTTCCGGCAGTCAGTGATCGCTGTACAAAACTCGCCATGCATTAAAGTAGGACATTTGAACCAAAGCTCAAGATCAGTCATTTTTTGTATACCTCCTCTACATAATAATTCACCTATCTGCTTAACAAAACTCTTTGCTTGATCACAACGTGGAAAGGATATCAAGCAATCATCAACATAGGAATTATTCTTGACAGCACTTACGACATAACCATCATAACCGTCAGAGAATATTTGAGCCGTCTTATTCAAGGTAAAGTTCGCACGAAACGGCGATGATATGGCACTAAATGGATGAGATGTCATTTGAAACTCAGATGGTTCCCTCGACATGTCTACCTCCTGCCACCACAGAAATCTTGAAGCTCCTCGATCAGACTCAGAGACCTTCAATTGCATGAACATTTCTTCAACATCTGCAGGGATTGTAACTGCCTCCTTGCGAAAACTTAATAATATACACATTAACTCATCAGTGGTATCGGGTTCTTGATAAATCATATCATTTGTGGGAACCCCTGCAAACTCGGCGGCACAATCAAGGACCACTCTAAGTTCCTCTGGTTTTTTCATGTTTAACACTGCATGATGAGGTAAATACCCTCGAGAGCGATAATTAGGCTGCAAATATATTTCAAGGACCCTCTCCGCATAAGTCTTAGTAAAATTACTTTCAATACTTTTGATGTACCTGGTGTTCAGGCTGACGTCCTTTGACAACATACCTTTCAAACTTTGTAATCTACGGGTTGCTACTTCATAATTATCCACTTTCATATTTGGATTCTTTTTCCACGGTATAGAAACTACAAAATCACCGTTGCCGAAGTGCGTGCCCCCTTCCACAATCTTTATAGCCGCCTTGTCGTCTACTGATAATGATTTATCACTTGAATAAGCATCTGAAAACTCATCATAAAGCTTACGTATTTCGTTCACCAGTGTCTGTACTTTACTGATATGATTAACAACTCTTTTCCTATATTCCGAGCATGATGGCTTATCATTTACAACGTTGCTTGTCGAGTCAGTGTGCAGCAGAACGTGATGTCTCTTCTTACAACTGTCAACGTTACAGAGCCTTGTCACCTTACATTCATTAACCTTATGTCCTTGTCTAAGACAAACAAAACAAATACCCTTGCTTTTAGCGTGAGACCATCGGTCTTGAACTGTAAGCGCTAAGAACTGTGGACATTTATCAATAGCATGGTCGTAGGAACACATACTGCATTTAGTTTTCGTTGTCGAACTATTCCCTTGCGCCGATTGCACGTGACAGTTCGTCTTTACGTTATGTCCTTTTCTTGAACGATTTGCTAACCGTCCAAATCTACTACAAGCCACTCTCGCACGCGATGCGATAAACTGAGTGAGCTCGTTAAAGGTCGGTTCCCTGTTATCTTCAGTCAATTTATCCACCCAGTCCGCCCACTGGGTTTGCATAGGTTGCGGCAAGAGTCTCACTATTCTTTCCAAGGTAACTAAGGAATTTAGATCAGAAGTATAATTCATCTGTTCCAAGACCATGGCAGTTTTCCATTTTAATAGCCAAGTTTGTTAGTTGCTCTCCGTCAGTATAATCAAAATTCACAGCACTGAATAAGTCCTCTAGTGTTTCTCTAGCAATTACGTGAGACTGTCCGAACAACCGTTTTAGAATTTCTTTGGCCTTCTTGTAACCAGAATAGGCTTCCAACATAATACAACCCTCAATGCCTGTTTTCGCTTTACCCTTACAATAATGTATCAAATAAAGCAAGCGTTGACCATCATCCTTGACCCTTGATTCTACATAGGTCTCAAACTCCCTTGAAAATCTCCAATAACCTCTTGGTTGACCGTCGAAATAACTTAGCTCAACCTTTAGTAACTCTGGACCTACGAAAGGCGCCGTAAGCATCGCGCTTTTCGCCTATGCCATCTGTCATTATATCACAACTAGATTCACTATAATTACAATCGTCCCTATTAGAATCTGAACCATGACACATAAAAGCATCATAAGGCACTTGCTTTGATTGAGGGGATCCATGCTTTTGTTCATCTCTTTTAGCTTCCACGAGCCTTGGACTTAATTTCCTTCGACGATTGTTTGGCATCGCAAGCGAACGACCAAATATTCCCGGAGACAATAATTGAAATCAGCGAAACGAAAACCAAACGAATTCGACCAAAATATTTGTTTAGAACTGTAAGATCCAAACTACGTTTAGACTGCTGGACAGCTCCCTGGATGAGTTAGATACGCGCCCTCGCCCGATTGAAACCAAAACAAAGTAATTGGGTAAGATGACGGTTCTATAATTTATCATAAATTTAAGTGTACACTATTACCTAAACAAATATAACCACTCAGCTATCCAACCAATAATTGTTCAATTGATCAAATCTAAACTACAATAAATAAGAAAGTTGATAAACGATGCAAGAAAGTTACCAATCACCACAAATAAATGTTATTCTATCCTGTCTGGATAGATCACGTACAGATTCGTTCAAAAGGTAATAATTGGTCGCTCTATAACACAGAGTGTTTCTTAATTCTGGAAGAGTGCTTCTATTCACAACCAAAATGCACAATTCCAGTCAACACAGGTCAAGCAATCAAAAGCAGGAACCAACCAAAATGGCTGCCGCCCAGACTTAGTATAAAGTAAAACAACATAAGTGCAGTTCGGGAAAAAACATGGGGAATTAGTGAAGGTGTAGTAAAAGCGAAAACTATAATAAAATATAAATATTAACAATTCAAATGTAGTCAAAAAGTTAACAATGTACAACTAAGAGAATCAACAGGAACAAAGTGCAAGTATAAACATGGAGGGATTTTCACAAACACACAAGGCATTCAAAATGGATCTTACACTGGCCCCCAAAATCCCTCCATACCACACAAGCTACCTTGATGCCTACGGTCATGGTTCATTATATAACATATCACACCATAGGAACGAGTAGGACTTACAACAGTACGCCTACTTGACCTAACTACATTAATAACAACAAAGACTAATCCAAAGCTTCAAGGAGACCTGCTTCACCTGTTCTCTGATGATCAACAATACCAGTCGTCATATAGACCTAATCACTCTTCCCCAAACTCCACCCATGCTGTTGGATGAGGGCTTCGCTGACAATTCAATATTTATCTTCTGCTGATTCGACTGTTGCACCAACTTCCTTAACTCAGAAACTGCCTCCACGAGGCTTGACGCACCGTCACTGTAAATCTCAGGAGGTTTCCTCCTTCCAATAAAACGTAATAAGGCCATCATAAATGAATCAGTAATCAAACTACACATCATTTCAATATGTAATGCCCATGTTTGCAAACAAGTAAACACATATCTATATCCTTTATCTAATGACCTTCCTATGTGTCCTGGTTCCTCATGATAATGTCTAATTATCATTTCTGTCATTAAGTGTCGACTGGGCAATATTATCGGATGGTTAAAGGCATCTGGGAAATCTGAATAGTTTAGCCGACCTCCAACACAGAGTAACTCATTCAGCATTATCGGTGATAAGCTCTTCAGATCATTTTGACTAACTAATTTACCATTGTTTCTAAATCCACTAAGTATTTCTCCATACACTTCTTTCTGAACCATCAATAAACTTTTACTCTTGGCGATGTCAAGCTCCTTGACCTTTAAACCTCCTAGATGAACGGATCCTTCACAACTCGGTGAACGAAGTACCATCAGGAATTCTATGAACCTTCTAAGCCATGCTACGGCCCTGGCTAATTTCAACCACTCAGCATAATAAGAGAGAATAGGTGACATGTTGTACTTTATACTACTCAAGTTAACCACAGCAGTTTTTCTAAACTCAATATCTTCAGGAGTAGGTTCCGGCAGTCAGTGATCGCTGTACAAAACTCGCCATGCATTAAAGTAGGACATTTGAACCAAAGCTCAAGATCAGTCATTTTTTGTATACCTCCTCTACATAATAATTCACCTATCTGCTTAACAAAACTCTTTGCTTGATCACAACGTGGAAAGGATATCAAGCAATCATCAACATAGGAATTATTCTTGACAGCACTTACGACATAACCATCATAACCGTCAGAGAATATTTGAGCCGTCTTATTCAAGGTAAAGTTCGCACGAAACGGCGATGATATGGCACTAAATGGATGAGATGTCATTTGAAACTCAGATGGTTCCCTCGACATGTCTACCTCCTGCCACCACAGAAATCTTGAAGCTCCTCGATCAGACTCAGAGACCTTCAATTGCATGAACATTTCTTCAACATCTGCAGGGATTGTAACTGCCTCCTTGCGAAAACTTAATAATATACACATTAACTCATCAGTGGTATCGGGTTCTTGATAAATCATATCATTTGTGGGAACCCCTGCAAACTCGGCGGCACAATCAAGGACCACTCTAAGTTCCTCTGGTTTTTTCATGTTTAACACTGCATGATGAGGTAAATACCCTCGAGAGCGATAATTAGGCTGCAAATATATTTCAAGGACCCTCTCCGCATAAGTCTTAGTAAAATTACTTTCAATACTTTTGATGTACCTGGTGTTCAGGCTGACGTCCTTTGACAACATACCTTTCAAACTTTGTAATCTACGGGTTGCTACTTCATAATTATCCACTTTCATATTTGGATTCTTTTTCCACGGTATAGAAACTACAAAATCACCGTTGCCGAAGTGCGTGCCCCCTTCCACAATCTTTATAGCCGCCTTGTCGTCTACTGATAATGATTTATCACTTGAATAAGCATCTGAAAACTCATCATAAAGCTTACGTATTTCGTTCACCAGTGTCTGTACTTTACTGATATGATTAACAACTCTTTTCCTATATTCCGAGCATGATGGCTTATCATTTACAACGTTGCTTGTCGAGTCAGTGTGCAGCAGAACGTGATGTCTCTTCTTACAACTGTCAACGTTACAGAGCCTTGTCACCTTACATTCATTAACCTTATGTCCTTGTCTAAGACAAACAAAACAAATACCCTTGCTTTTAGCGTGAGACCATCGGTCTTGAACTGTAAGCGCTAAGAACTGTGGACATTTATCAATAGCATGGTCGTAGGAACACATACTGCATTTAGTTTTCGTTGTCGAACTATTCCCTTGCGCCGATTGCACGTGACAGTTCGTCTTTACGTTATGTCCTTTTCTTGAACGATTTGCTAACCGTCCAAATCTACTACAAGCCACTCTCGCACGCGATGCGATAAACTGAGTGAGCTCGTTAAAGGTCGGTTCCCTGTTATCTTCAGTCAATTTATCCACCCAGTCCGCCCACTGGGTTTGCATAGGTTGCGGCAAGAGTCTCACTATTCTTTCCAAGGTAACTAAGGAATTTAGATCAGAAGTATAATTCATCTGTTCCAAGACCATGGCAGTTTTCCATTTTAATAGCCAAGTTTGTTAGTTGCTCTCCGTCAGTATAATCAAAATTCACAGCACTGAATAAGTCCTCTAGTGTTTCTCTAGCAATTACGTGAGACTGTCCGAACAACCGTTTTAGAATTTCTTTGGCCTTCTTGTAACCAGAATAGGCTTCCAACATAATACAACCCTCAATGCCTGTTTTCGCTTTACCCTTACAATAATGTATCAAATAAAGCAAGCGTTGACCATCATCCTTGACCCTTGATTCTACATAGGTCTCAAACTCCCTTGAAAATCTCCAATAACCTCTTGGTTGACCGTCGAAATAACTTAGCTCAACCTTTAGTAACTCTGGACCTACGAAAGGCGCCGTAAGCATCGCGCTTTTCGCCTATGCCATCTGTCATTATATCACAACTAGATTCACTATAATTACAATCGTCCCTATTAGAATCTGAACCATGACACATAAAAGCATCATAAGGCACTTGCTTTGATTGAGGGGATCCATGCTTTTGTTCATCTCTTTTAGCTTCCACGAGCCTTGGACTTAATTTCCTTCGACGATTGTTTGGCATCGCAAGCGAACGACCAAATATTCCCGGAGACAATAATTGAAATCAGCGAAACGAAAACCAAACGAATTCGACCAAAATATTTGTTTAGAACTGTAAGATCCAAACTACGTTTAGACTGCTGGACAGCTCCCTGGATGAGTTAGATACGCGCCCTCGCCCGATTGAAACCAAAACAAAGTAATTGGGTAAGATGACGGTTCTATAATTTATCATAAATTTAAGTGTACACTATTACCTAAACAAATATAACCACTCAGCTATCCAACCAATAATTGTTCAATTGATCAAATCTAAACTACAATAAATAAGAAAGTTGATAAACGATGCAAGAAAGTTACCAATCACCACAAATAAATGTTATTCTATCCTGTCTGGATAGATCACGTACAGATTCGTTCAAAAGGTAATAATTGGTCGCTCTATAACACAGAGTGTTTCTTAATTCTGGAAGAGTGCTTCTATTCACAACCAAAATGCACAATTCCAGTCAACACAGGTCAAGCAATCAAAAGCAGGAACCAACCAAAATGGCTGCCGCCCAGACTTAGTATAAAGTAAAACAACATAAGTGCAGTTCGGGAAAAAACATGGGGAATTAGTGAAGGTGTAGTAAAAGCGAAAACTATAATAAAATATAAATATTAACAATTCAAATGTAGTCAAAAAGTTAACAATGTACAACTAAGAGAATCAACAGGAACAAAGTGCAAGTATAAACATGGAGGGATTTTCACAAACACACAAGGCATTCAAAATGGATCTTACACTGGCCCCCAAAATCCCTCCATACCACACAAGCTACCTTGATGCCTACGGTCATGGTTCATTATATAACATATCACACCATAGGAACGAGTAGGACTTACAACAGTACGCCTACTTGACCTAACTACATTAATAACAACAAAGACTAATCCAAAGCTTCAAGGAGACCTGCTTCACCTGTTCTCTGATGATCAACAATACCAGTCGTCATATAGACCTAATCACTCTTCCCCAAACTCCACCCATGCTGTTGGATGAGGGCTTCGCTGACAATTCAATATTTATCTTCTGCTGATTCGACTGTTGCACCAACTTCCTTAACTCAGAAACTGCCTCCACGAGGCTTGACGCACCGTCACTGTAAATCTCAGGAGGTTTCCTCCTTCCAATAAAACGTAATAAGGCCATCATAAATGAATCAGTAATCAAACTACACATCATTTCAATATGTAATGCCCATGTTTGCAAACAAGTAAACACATATCTATATCCTTTATCTAATGACCTTCCTATGTGTCCTGGTTCCTCATGATAATGTCTAATTATCATTTCTGTCATTAAGTGTCGACTGGGCAATATTATCGGATGGTTAAAGGCATCTGGGAAATCTGAATAGTTTAGCCGACCTCCAACACAGAGTAACTCATTCAGCATTATCGGTGATAAGCTCTTCAGATCATTTTGACTAACTAATTTACCATTGTTTCTAAATCCACTAAGTATTTCTCCATACACTTCTTTCTGAACCATCAATAAACTTTTACTCTTGGCGATGTCAAGCTCCTTGACCTTTAAACCTCCTAGATGAACGGATCCTTCACAACTCGGTGAACGAAGTACCATCAGGAATTCTATGAACCTTCTAAGCCATGCTACGGCCCTGGCTAATTTCAACCACTCAGCATAATAAGAGAGAATAGGTGACATGTTGTACTTTATACTACTCAAGTTAACCACAGCAGTTTTTCTAAACTCAATATCTTCAGGAGTAGGTTCCGGCAGTCAGTGATCGCTGTACAAAACTCGCCATGCATTAAAGTAGGACATTTGAACCAAAGCTCAAGATCAGTCATTTTTTGTATACCTCCTCTACATAATAATTCACCTATCTGCTTAACAAAACTCTTTGCTTGATCACAACGTGGAAAGGATATCAAGCAATCATCAACATAGGAATTATTCTTGACAGCACTTACGACATAACCATCATAACCGTCAGAGAATATTTGAGCCGTCTTATTCAAGGTAAAGTTCGCACGAAACGGCGATGATATGGCACTAAATGGATGAGATGTCATTTGAAACTCAGATGGTTCCCTCGACATGTCTACCTCCTGCCACCACAGAAATCTTGAAGCTCCTCGATCAGACTCAGAGACCTTCAATTGCATGAACATTTCTTCAACATCTGCAGGGATTGTAACTGCCTCCTTGCGAAAACTTAATAATATACACATTAACTCATCAGTGGTATCGGGTTCTTGATAAATCATATCATTTGTGGGAACCCCTGCAAACTCGGCGGCACAATCAAGGACCACTCTAAGTTCCTCTGGTTTTTTCATGTTTAACACTGCATGATGAGGTAAATACCCTCGAGAGCGATAATTAGGCTGCAAATATATTTCAAGGACCCTCTCCGCATAAGTCTTAGTAAAATTACTTTCAATACTTTTGATGTACCTGGTGTTCAGGCTGACGTCCTTTGACAACATACCTTTCAAACTTTGTAATCTACGGGTTGCTACTTCATAATTATCCACTTTCATATTTGGATTCTTTTTCCACGGTATAGAAACTACAAAATCACCGTTGCCGAAGTGCGTGCCCCCTTCCACAATCTTTATAGCCGCCTTGTCGTCTACTGATAATGATTTATCACTTGAATAAGCATCTGAAAACTCATCATAAAGCTTACGTATTTCGTTCACCAGTGTCTGTACTTTACTGATATGATTAACAACTCTTTTCCTATATTCCGAGCATGATGGCTTATCATTTACAACGTTGCTTGTCGAGTCAGTGTGCAGCAGAACGTGATGTCTCTTCTTACAACTGTCAACGTTACAGAGCCTTGTCACCTTACATTCATTAACCTTATGTCCTTGTCTAAGACAAACAAAACAAATACCCTTGCTTTTAGCGTGAGACCATCGGTCTTGAACTGTAAGCGCTAAGAACTGTGGACATTTATCAATAGCATGGTCGTAGGAACACATACTGCATTTAGTTTTCGTTGTCGAACTATTCCCTTGCGCCGATTGCACGTGACAGTTCGTCTTTACGTTATGTCCTTTTCTTGAACGATTTGCTAACCGTCCAAATCTACTACAAGCCACTCTCGCACGCGATGCGATAAACTGAGTGAGCTCGTTAAAGGTCGGTTCCCTGTTATCTTCAGTCAATTTATCCACCCAGTCCGCCCACTGGGTTTGCATAGGTTGCGGCAAGAGTCTCACTATTCTTTCCAAGGTAACTAAGGAATTTAGATCAGAAGTATAATTCATCTGTTCCAAGACCATGGCAGTTTTCCATTTTAATAGCCAAGTTTGTTAGTTGCTCTCCGTCAGTATAATCAAAATTCACAGCACTGAATAAGTCCTCTAGTGTTTCTCTAGCAATTACGTGAGACTGTCCGAACAACCGTTTTAGAATTTCTTTGGCCTTCTTGTAACCAGAATAGGCTTCCAACATAATACAACCCTCAATGCCTGTTTTCGCTTTACCCTTACAATAATGTATCAAATAAAGCAAGCGTTGACCATCATCCTTGACCCTTGATTCTACATAGGTCTCAAACTCCCTTGAAAATCTCCAATAACCTCTTGGTTGACCGTCGAAATAACTTAGCTCAACCTTTAGTAACTCTGGACCTACGAAAGGCGCCGTAAGCATCGCGCTTTTCGCCTATGCCATCTGTCATTATATCACAACTAGATTCACTATAATTACAATCGTCCCTATTAGAATCTGAACCATGACACATAAAAGCATCATAAGGCACTTGCTTTGATTGAGGGGATCCATGCTTTTGTTCATCTCTTTTAGCTTCCACGAGCCTTGGACTTAATTTCCTTCGACGATTGTTTGGCATCGCAAGCGAACGACCAAATATTCCCGGAGACAATAATTGAAATCAGCGAAACGAAAACCAAACGAATTCGACCAAAATATTTGTTTAGAACTGTAAGATCCAAACTACGTTTAGACTGCTGGACAGCTCCCTGGATGAGTTAGATACGCGCCCTCGCCCGATTGAAACCAAAACAAAGTAATTGGGTAAGATGACGGTTCTATAATTTATCATAAATTTAAGTGTACACTATTACCTAAACAAATATAACCACTCAGCTATCCAACCAATAATTGTTCAATTGATCAAATCTAAACTACAATAAATAAGAAAGTTGATAAACGATGCAAGAAAGTTACCAATCACCACAAATAAATGTTATTCTATCCTGTCTGGATAGATCACGTACAGATTCGTTCAAAAGGTAATAATTGGTCGCTCTATAACACAGAGTGTTTCTTAATTCTGGAAGAGTGCTTCTATTCACAACCAAAATGCACAATTCCAGTCAACACAGGTCAAGCAATCAAAAGCAGGAACCAACCAAAATGGCTGCCGCCCAGACTTAGTATAAAGTAAAACAACATAAGTGCAGTTCGGGAAAAAACATGGGGAATTAGTGAAGGTGTAGTAAAAGCGAAAACTATAATAAAATATAAATATTAACAATTCAAATGTAGTCAAAAAGTTAACAATGTACAACTAAGAGAATCAACAGGAACAAAGTGCAAGTATAAACATGGAGGGATTTTCACAAACACACAAAGCATTCAAAATGGATCTTACAAACACTATGAGATCATTATCCCTCTTTTGCATACATTCGAGTAGCAGACGTGACATCATTTCTCAAGGACTGTTGCAAATATAGTACTACATGCAGTTAGTGTCTGTTGGTTAGTGCTTTGGCGTAGTTCAACAGGAAGTGTTCAAGATTGTAATCAATTTTCAATTTCTCACGCCTTGGCATTCATTTATAGCATCAAAGTAGGAAGTACATTTTGGTGGACGACAAGTAGAAGATGCAAGTTGTCTGCATCCCAAGCAAATGGCTGGTGAAGAAGGATCATTATGGTTTATCACGATAATGTTATTGAGCATGATATTGTTCAGGTTGTTGATGTTGATAGTCGATTCACGCTGCGAAAATGCACCGTCATACATGGTTGTGGTAAGTTGTAATCAATTAACATTTATTGTTTTCAGACGACTACAATGTAGCCCAGGAATTAAAAGTGTGTTTAACAACGGTACTGGGCTACAATACAAACATCACGATTAACAATGAAACGCAGTCTTGTCACGCTGACAAGCCGAAAAGGTAAATTGTTCAACTTATTATATCACTTGTGTTAAGACTGTAAAACGAAAAAATACTGATTATTTATGCACCTCAGAAGAACTAGAGGTTGCTGGGTTTGTCTCGGTGGAATTTCCAGTTGTCAACATTTTGACAGGAAACTTTTCTCCCATTGTGAGGTTTGTACCTACTTATCAATTATCATATAGTAGTTCATCAAAAGCTGACGTTTCATCACCAGAAATTTCACGTACGTCGACGGAAGGTGATAAACCGTAAGTTGCATTTGCTGTATTCCTGATAACAAAAGTTTGTGCGATGATACAAACAAAATGTTAGGAACGCTCCTGAAATCAGTCAGTGAGCCGTCTACGAAAATAGACAAAATCCTATTTTTGTTTGAACGCTTAGTCATGGGTGCAATCGACAGGCCTACAAAGGAAATTGATAGTGATGCTATACATTTCCCATTAAGAACGCATGTGGAGTTGCGTTCTTTAGAGGCTGCTTTAGAAAACCAAAAATACCGAGATCATTTCGTAAGTTGTACAATGTGTTTGGATAAATTTTAGGTTGCAAGATTATGTAACTTAATGTGTGATAATACTCGGAAATCAGCTAAAGCTTGTCTTCAATACCTCCTGTCACCGGAACTCGCGAACACTTACACTTTACACGGAACCATAAGGAAATTCGGGATTAGTGAATACAAATTTTACTCCACGGTTCAAAGTAAGTTCACATTACTGTCTGAACATATTTGTAGGTGCTTTGTGTTCACGTTTCCGAAGTGCAACCTGTCACATACATAGCCAACCGTCTCGCGGTGCTTCACCAGTATAGGAAGGTTGAACAATGGAATTATGAAAAGTCGTCACACAATCCAGCTGATTGGACTTTAAGAGGTATACAAAAAATGACTGATCTTGAGCTTTGGTTCGAATATCCTACCTCACTTCATGGCGAATTCTGTACAAGGACATAAGGTTAATGAATGTAAGGTGACAAGGCTCTGTAACGTTGACAGTTGTAAGAAGAGACATCACGTTCTGCTGCACACTGACTCGACAAGCAACGTTGTAAATGATAAGCCATCATGCTCGGAATATAGGAAAAGAGTTGTTAATCATATCAGTAAAGTACAGACACTGGTGAACGAAATACGTAAGCTTTATGATGAGTTTTCAGATGCTTATTCAAGTGATAAATCATTATCAGTAGACGACAAGGCGGCTATAAAGATTGTGGAAGGGGGCACGCACTTCGGCAACGGTGATTTTGTAGTTTCTATACCGTGGAAAAAGAATCCAAATATGAAAGTGGATAATTATGAAGTAGCAACCCGTAGATTACAAAGTTTGAAAGGTATGTTGTCAAAGGACGTCAGCCTGAACACCAGGTACATCAAAAGTATTGAAAGTAATTTTACTAAGACTTATGCGGAGAGGGTCCTTGAAATATATTTGCAGCCTAATTATCGCTCTCGAGGGTATTTACCTCATCATGCAGTGTTAAACATGAAAAAACCAGAGGAACTTAGAGTGGTCCTTGATTGTGCCGCCGAGTTTGCAGGGGTTCCCACAAATGATATGATTTATCAAGAACCCGATACCACTGATGAGTTAATGTGTATATTATTAAGTTTTCGCAAGGAGGCAGTTACAATCCCTGCAGATGTTGAAGAAATGTTCATGCAATTGAAGGTCTCTGAGTCTGATCGAGGAGCTTCAAGATTTCTGTGGTGGCAGGAGGTAGACATGTCGAGGGAACCATCTGAGTTTCAAATGACATCTCATCCATTTAGTGCCATATCATCGCCGTTTCGTGCGAACTTTACCTTGAATAAGACGGCTCAAATATTCTCTGACGGTTATGATGGTTATGTCGTAAGTGCTGTCAAGAATAATTCCTATGTTGATGATTGCTTGATATCCTTTCCACGTTGTGATCAAGCAAAGAGTTTTGTTAAGCAGATAGGTGAATTATTATGTAGAGGAGGTATACAAAAAATGACTGATCTTGAGCTTTGGTTCAAATGTCCTACTTTAATGCATGGCGAGTTTTGTACAGCGATCACTGACTGCCGGAACCTACTCCTGAAGATATTGAGTTTAGAAAAACTGCTGTGGTTAACTTGAGTAGTATAAAGTACAACATGTCACCTATTCTCTCTTATTATGCTGAGTGGTTGAAATTAGCCAGGGCCGTAGCATGGCTTAGAAGGTTCATAGAATTCCTGATGGTACTTCGTTCACCGAGTTGTGAAGGATCCGTTCATCTAGGAGGTTTAAAGGTCAAGGAGCTTGACATCGCCAAGAGTAAAAGTTTATTGATGGTTCAGAAAGAAGTGTATGGAGAAATACTTAGTGGATTTAGAAACAATGGTAAATTAGTTAGTCAAAATGATCTGAAGAGCTTATCACCGATAATGCTGAATGAGTTACTCTGTGTTGGAGGTCGGCTAAACTATTCAGATTTCCCAGATGCCTTTAACCATCCGATAATATTGCCCAGTCGACACTTAATGACAGAAATGATAATTAGACATTATCATGAGGAACCAGGACACATAGGAAGGTCATTAGATAAAGGATATAGATATGTGTTTACTTGTTTGCAAACATGGGCATTACATATTGAAATGATGTGTAGTTTGATTACTGATTCATTTATGATGGCCTTATTACGTTTTATTGGAAGGAGGAAACCTCCTGAGATTTACAGTGACGGTGCGTCAAGCCTCGTGGAGGCAGTTTCTGAGTTAAGGAAGTTGGTGCAACAGTCGAATCAGCAGAAGATAAATATTGAATTGTCAGCGAAGCCCTCATCCAACAGCATGGGTGGAGTTTGGGGAAGAGTGATTAGGTCTATATGACGACTGGTATTGTTGATCATCAGAGAACAGGTGAAGCAGGTCTCCTTGAAGCTTTGGATTAGTCTTTGTTGTTATTAATGTAGTTAGGTCAAGTAGGCGTACTGTTGTAAGTCCTACTCGTTCCTATGGTGTGATATGTTATATAATGAACCATGACCGTAGGCATCAAGGTAGCTTGTGTGGTATGGAGGGATTTTGGGGGCCAGTGTAAGATCCATTTTGAATGCCTTGTGTGTTTGTGAAAATCCCTCCATGTTTATACTTGCACTTTGTTCCTGTTGATTCTCTTAGTTGTACATTGTTAACTTTTTGACTACATTTGAATTGTTAATATTTATATTTTATTATAGTTTTCGCTTTTACTACACCTTCACTAATTCCCCATGTTTTTTCCCGAACTGCACTTATGTTGTTTTACTTTATACTAAGTCTGGGCGGCAGCCATTTTGGTTGGTTCCTGCTTTTGATTGCTTGACCTGTGTTGACTGGAATTGTGCATTTTGGTTGTGAATAGAAGCACTCTTCCAGAATTAAGAAACACTCTGTGTTATAGAGCGACCAATTATTACCTTTTGAACGAATCTGTACGTGATCTATCCAGACAGGATAGAATAACATTTATTTGTGGTGATTGGTAACTTTCTTGC